TTCCGAACGCAGCTAGGTCTAGGGCCCTTCGGGATGGCTCTTACTATTTTTGCCAACTCCTATATGGTGTCTCAACGACCATCCTCAGCTGTTTATTAAAAATTGCAGTGAGACCATGTTTGCAATCTGCAGGACTATAAATATGTATCTATGAGATGACTATTAATCTGCATTTGTTAACCATTAAATATTAGGACTTTAGGTTTTGTCCTTGCTAAGTTAGAATCTTAAAAGTCATGAATATAATTTATTAAAGTGAGAGCACAACAGTTTTTGTATGATTTAGTATATAAAAGGTTATAGCTTATAATAGTCTAAGGGTATACTACAGATTAATAACATCATTTTTAGAGAACAAGACCAAGCTTATATTTTGATAGTAGAGATATAGTAAATTGACCCAGTTTTAATATAAATAAATACCTCTAAAATTAATAGATCTTAATTTAAAATATTGGTAAACAACTTGTACATAATAACGAACCCTTGAGCCATAAGTTTAAAACCAATAATTTAGCAGAACAGTATAAACCAAATTTAAAATTAACCAAGCATATTTTAACCCTTTGATAGTAGAGATGTATTAAATTGACCCAGTTTTAATATAAATAAATACCTCTAAAATTAATAGATTCGGCACCCACCAATGTTAAAAATTATGAGGCTTGTTAACCGATATTTTCTGCAAAAAGTTTATTAGGAGGGAGGGAGGGGGGAACAGGACATGGTGGGGAGAGAGAGAGGGAAAGGGGGGTGCCCCAAGAGAGAGAAGGAGAGAGAGAGAGAGAGTATAAGAGTGTAAGAGAGAGAGAGAAAGAGAGAGAGTGTAAGAGAGAGACCACAAATTGGGGTTAGCCCTTTAAGGGGCAAGGTAACCACACCTTCCAGGTGTGGCCATCTGGCTGGTGACACATGATGACATCATAGGTTGCTGGGTAACCCAGGAACAGGTTATGTTCCTAAATACTAACATCCAGGGCTATACCATGAGACCTTTTCTCAAAACAAAACAAAAGTAATGTCCTAAATTTAAACTAAAATAGTTTATTGCCTATATTTTTAGATTGAAATTCATGTAAACATTTCTGAGTGTGCCTTTCATGTAGAAGAAAGGAGTTAATTGCATTTTTTTTGAGACCTTGTCCATTTGTTAATGTTTGGGACCTAGTTAACAGGTGGATTTTTGATCATGTTATACCTTACAAAGGTATAACAAAAAGTCATTGGAATCAAAAGGAAAGAATGGCTAGGGAGTCACGCCTCTGGCTGGCCTGTATCCTGACATAAGAATTTGCATCTGGACATCTGTTCCTCATTGTGCCTCTCAAGAGGACTTGATGCCTTCCCCTGACCTAATTGGTAGTCTCACCAGTCTGTGGAGGGCAGTTAAATAAAGGCCACTGACATCTGTTAGGGCGCAGTCAAGTATTTTTTATAAGTCTGAAGAAATCTTTTTGGTCGGTGACAGAGGTAGTTTACCTAACATCTCTTGAAAAGCCTAAAGTCACACAATTCCACATTTTAAAAAAAAAATTAAGGTTATTTTCAACTGATCTATAATAATATAAACATTGTATCTATGGATGGAATATATATATACACATATAATTTTTTTTTTTTTTTTTTAGTAAAAGAAAGTAGTTGGGTTTATGTTGGGTTTAGATGGTCAGAGTTCATGAGAGTGGAGCAAAGGCATGGAGGCAGGAACAGCTGGGAGCTCACATCTTGAGCCACAAGCAGGAGGCAAAGAGCACAATGGGAATGACACAAAAGCCTCAAGCCTGCCCCCAGTGACACACTTCCTCCAAGGATGTCACACCTCCTAATCCTTCCCAAACAGGTTAACCAACTAGAGACCAAGTATTGAAATATATGAGCCTATGTATATTAAAATAGGGCCATTTTCCTTCAAAGCAGCACGGACCGTTTTAGCGGGCTGACAGAGTGGAAAGTGGCTGCTGGGCTGCGCAGAACCTCTGCTGTACTCCATCACTGCTCGTTTTGTCCACTTTTGGTGCTGTAGCTAGTAAACCTGACTGCGAGGGTGCCCTGAAGTGTTTTCCCAGGTCCTAGATGTTTTGTAATGCTCTTTATCTTTTCAAATATTTATCATTTCTTTATAGTGAAAACATTTGATATATTGTCTTTGGATTTTCTGAATGGAAAATCCATTGTTTTTTTTTTTGTTGTTGTTTGTTTATTTTTTACTCTTAGATAAAAGCTCGGTGTGTACAGTTTTAAAAGTGAACAAGACTGTTTTACATTTTCAAAGCAGACAACAAAAATGAAAACAAAGGTGTTTGAACTTTTGTTTCCTTAGACACATGTTTTTGTTTTTGTTTTCTGTGTTTTGGATACTCTGATTTCTGGACCTTTGAATGTGGGTATGTCTACGGCTGTGGGAGGCATGGAGTTGACTCCTGCCCTGTCCTTGCTGTCTGTGCCCTCTTCCTTTCTAGTGGAGCTATTTTTTTGCTGTCCGTGTTGACGGGACTGTTCACAGTGGGGACATGGACTGGACTATGATTATTTCCCTGTCCTATACAACCTTTGTTTTCACTGTACCTTCATCAGCTCATCCCTGGACTCTTCCCCAATTATCTACATCTCCTCTGAGGACCTCTTGAGATGATGCACTGGCGTTTGACTAATGTCCTAATGCCCCTTAGTTGGCAGAGTTGCCACCTATCCTTATTGACCAGTGGTCTCATGGCATCTTACGACCTTCATCCTTGTGTTCCTTTTGCCTACCTCATATATGAAATCACTTATTTCCTGTATCTTTTGCCCTGCTCTCTCTTGATTAATCTCATTCCATGGCAGACCACAATCCAGGATGAATTTTTTTTTTCAGATATTACCTATGTCAGTTCACTTTATTTCATTGTCATCATGGCCCTTAAACTCTTCCTTGCTTAGAATTGTGACTGCTGAGTGTAAATGTGCACTTTTCTGTTTGTGTGTTTATTTTCTGTCATCTGTAGGAGATTTGGGGAAGGAACCCAACTACCTATGTTTAGTTTGGCCTGTTCAACCACCAGTGTCATATAATTTTATTCATTTTAAACACAACAAACATTTCTTTCCAATTTGAACTAAGAAATTAAAACAGTTCAGGAAAAGGGGGGATTACATGTGCTTTTCAAGTGAGGAGATGTAATTGAAGCTGCTGAGTTAAACAGGAGCAGATTTTAGTAACCAAAGAAAGAAAGCAACAACACATTGGAGAAAGTCTCTCATAACCAGGTAGTAAGAGCTTTATGTCTGGGGGAAAAAAAAAAACAAACAAAGCTTTTTCTCTTACTACTACGATAAGTAAGGTTTAGGGCTGGGAATGTAGCCCAGTAGTAACATGTTTGCTGAGCATGCGCAAAGGGGAAAAGTGGGAAAAAGGAAGAGAATGAAAAATGAGCTTTTCTGCTCAAGGTTGTGAGGCCAGCAGGCTGGGCTGGCTTGTGGCAAAAAGCCTAGCTGGGCACAGCTCTGAAGGCTGACTATTTTGCAGGTATTTCTTAAAGCAAAGGGAACTGTGCTGGAAAGGCAGGGTTTGGAGTAAAAGTCTGCTATCAGGAAGTATGTCAGGTGCAGCTGATCAACAACACAAGGAGATCCGAGCCTTGGTGCCCCGTGATAGCTGTGCATACTTCAGTGAGAAAACGATGACGTGGTGGTTGCTCCACCTGGTCAAAAAAGACATAGTTGGTGATCTTTCTGGAGTCCAATTTAAGGTTAGTAAAGTAGCCAGTGCATCTCACCTGGTTCTGAAGAAAGCAAGAAGATCAAGATCATATATTTTGGTGAGGGAAATACAGTGGTAATGCATTTTCATATTTAAGAATTTGGAGACAAAGTGAAGGGAAAGCTATCCAATGCTATGATCATACAAAGTTAGTCATTTAAGAATGACTCAGGATTTTTAAACTGTTTTTTTACCTAACAGTCCTGAAGGTAGGAGTTAGTGGCTGTGTGCTACGTCATTTTGGGGGCTAGCAGGTAAATCAGCTTGCTACACAGGTCCCATTCCAGTGTGCTTCTAGCTGCACACGGCGGTGCAGGCATTGACACAAAGTTCCAGCCTGCAGAGCAAGTGAGGCGTGGTGAGGCAGGGAGATGCTGCCCCGAGAAACGTTTTTATTGTGTATAGGGGGTTTGTGGAGATTTAAAGATGTTTACATGCAGGATTCTAGAACTTTTCTGAATGTCAATTCATATTGAGAAGAAAGAGGGTAAGGTCATTGGCTGGGGTGGCAAGTGGAGCTGATGTTTGTCTCTGGTAGAGAAAGTTAAAGGATTTGAAACTGATGTAATGAACAAGCCTTTTGCACCAGTATATTTTCACTGCAACTAGAGAGGACAAAGTCTGATGCAGGCACAACCTTTTGACTCCTAAATCATTTCTGTAAAAAAAGGAAGAGGAAATTGTGGAACATGGCATGGTTCCTAGGAATTTATACTGCTGATGTATTGCTAATTTTTCATATGGAAAATACTCCCCTCTTTCGATTTATTTTATCATATGTGGTATCGGACCTTTTGATAGTAGAAGTGTCCAACCTTTTGACACCGCAACGTGATCTCTTGTAGTTTACAAATGAGTTGGGCCGCATTCATAGCTGTTCAGGAATGGATGGTTGTTGTATAAACCCAGTATTGCATAAGATTATGTATACTGAAGCTATACAGCAGGTTTCACATCCAGGCTCTGCTACCTACTAGTTAAGCATGCTAGGCCTCAATTTTTTTTATCTGTAAAATGGACAGAATATTAGTCATGTTGTAATGAATGTGAATTAATACATGTAAAAGTGATTTTAACCACTGAGCTACTTCTCCATCCTCATATTTAATTTTTTAAGGCTATTTTCCTTGGCCATGACCATGTGGCTGTGATAAGAACTCGCTCCCCAGTTGTGATTTTAGCTGTGGCTGAAACTCCTCATCTCTCTGCAGGGTGAGGCTCTTACTGTCATTACTAAGTGTCTTTTCACTTCACTTTACAGACCACGACTCAGGATTTTGAAGGTCACAGACCCCAATGGTAGTGGTAAGCCATGGCTGCGGATGATAAAGTTGCTATCCTAACTGATGATGAAGAGGAACAGAAGAGAAAATATGTGCTTGCTGACCCATTCAATGGCATCTGCAGGGAACCAGAACCAGCTTCCAACGAAACCCCCTCCTCCACAGAGACGGCTGCTATCCCCGAGGAGGAGATAGACTGGATAGAGAAGCACTGTGTGAAAATAAACAATGACCTTCTCATTTCCAAGGTGTTTTACTTTTTCTTTTACTCCGCCTATGGCTCTCTTTACCCACTCCTGCCTGTGTACTATAAGCAGCTGGGAATGTCCCCCAGCCAGAGTGGACTGTTGGTGGGTATTCGATACTTCATTGAGTTCTGCAGTGCCCCCTTTTGGGGTGTAGTTGCAGATCGTTTCAAAAAGGGCAAAATTGTCCTCCTCTTTTCACTTTTGTGTTGGGTTTTGTTCAACCTGGGCATTGGATTTGTCAAACCCGCTACCTTGAGATGCATACCAAAGATCGCTCCAACAGCTCACCCCACCAATGTAAGTCACTCAGTAACTGTCCTGCCACTGAATTCCTCCACCATCACTTTCTTTACCACACCACTGAAATCACGTGAGAAAAGAAACCTGCTGCGGCTGTCTGAAACCGAGCCCAATATCTCAGACACAGCTCTCCTCTCAACAGCGTTGGCTTTGACCAGTGAACCCATGGTCCAGCCCGAGACAGAGGAGGTTACCCACCATGCTATGGACTTGATTCTGAACACAAGCACAGCGATTCCCACCCCCAGAGGAAATGTCACCAGGGAGACAACCACTGCTGTTGTCACCACCACCAAATCGTTACCATCTGACCAAGTCACCCTTGTTTATGACCAGCAGGAAGTGGAGGCGATATTCTTGGTTATCTTGGTGGTTGTCATAATAGGAGAGTTTTTCAGTGCCTCTTCTGTCACGATTGTGGACACGGTGACCCTCCAGTATCTGGGAAAGCACCGAGACCGCTACGGGCTGCAACGGATGTGGGGCTCCCTGGGCTGGGGCCTGGCCATGCTGTCTGTGGGCATTGGGATTGATTACACCCACATAGATGTGCTCATTGATGGGAAGGGGTGTAAACCCCCCGAGTACCGGAACTACCAGATCGTCTTCATCGTCTTTGGGGTTCTCATGACCATGGCCCTGATCGTCGCCACGCAGTTCCGCTTCCGCTACAACCACTTCAAAAATAGTGACAGTAAAGGGAAAGAGGTGGAGATCCCGCAGGTGGAAAGGGACAACTCCACAGAGTCCTCCGAGGAGACTCCAACCGCTGCGACTCACTCGCAGGCCTTCAACTTCTGGGACTTGATCAAGCTGCTGTGCAGTGTGCAGTATGGCTCGGTGCTGTTCGTGGCCTGGTTCATGGGCTTTGGATATGGCTTTGTGTTCACCTTTCTCTACTGGCATCTGGAGGACCTGAATGGAACCACAACCCTCTTTGGGGTCTGCTCAGTCCTGAGTCATGTGTCTGAGCTGACCGCTTACTTCTTCAGCCACAAGCTTATTGAGCTGATCGGCCACATCAGGTAAGAGGGTGCTTACTATTAGCTGCTCCCAGCAATTGAACTTTCTGTGGTATAGCTTCTTAACAGGGTGGGGCCAGGTGGGGGTGGAGCTTTCTGCTGCTCCTCCTTCCAACAGGACCACAAGGAAGCAAGGAACAGATCTAGCTGGGTTATCTAACAGAGACAAAAAGGGGGCTACAACCCATTCCCACAGAGCCCTTGTGAGTGTGAATTCTGATCTCCAGAACTGCCAGGGAAATAAAAAAGAAAGGAAAGGAGGAAAAAAAAAACCTTATATTCAATAAAATTGTGATGTAACATAACATAGTTCTCTAATCCATGCTATTACACGGAAGAAACTTTCATATAACACTTTCCGCTAGTAACCTTAAATTTTGAAGTTGTATATGCCTTGATGGCATGGATTACTTGAAGTCTTCCTTTTATCTTGAATTTCTTAGGTTATCCTTTTAGTTAAAATAAAATAGACACTGACTACCTTTTCAGTAGTCTAGTCTTTTTACCATTAGCATTTGTGGAAAGCAGATCGAATAGCTGTTTTATAGTCACATTTGCTCTAAGATATGGAGCGAGTTGCAAGTAATGCTTACCCTGTAGAAAGGTGGAATGGGTCTGTCCATGAACTTGGCCTCACTAAAACCACCCATGCGTTGTGTGTCTGTGATAATCTATAAAATTACGGAGTAGGCAGTGGGAAGGCTTGGAAAATGATACCTATTCATTTTAAACTGAAGAAAATGTTTTCTAATTTAAAGTTTCAGTGAGAATCATGCTTTCCTCCAAGTCATTGTGAATAATTTTCAGTTTTTTTGTGTGAGGTTGTGTCCTGTTCCTTTTCTTTGTAACGTCTTTGACCATCCGCTGTCACTAAGAGCACTGTGTAGGTGGTTCCCAGAGCTAGAGGCCCCGTGGCGTGAGTAGCTGAATCAGAAAGGGTGCTAAACATTGGGGATTCCCAAAACCACCTCTCAAATTGAAGGAAGCCACATCCAGTGCATTGCCCTCGATGAATGTGTTCCCTGCAGCCTGGATGCAGGAGTGGGCCTTGCTGCTCAGAGTAGCTCTTGAATAAGCATTTCATTCCTAAGGACATGTCCAGTTAGGCACCAACAAAGAGTGGAATTCACAGACAGAATAATTTAATCGACTAAACATAGTTAAAAACAGTATTAAATATACATACATTTTCAAATAAATTCTATTCTAGGCCCTTCTTATATGGAGAAAAACACATTTCCCTTCTGTCTACATGAACTAAATATGTATGTCTCTCTCTCTCTCTCTCTCTCTCTCTATATATATATATATATATATACACACACACTTTTGGGGGTGTGTTCATTTATTTTCTAGTACAGGGATTGAGTTGAGGGCCCCATACATGCTGGGTAACTCTGCCACTGAGCTATACCCCCGGCCTTAGGTACATTCCTTCTACAACAAAATCACAGTGCACTACTACTTTTGGTAATTCAATGAGGTTTGAATTACATTTGCATTCTTCCTTTATAAGTAGTATTGGTAACTGCTTAGAAATCTAAAGTTCACATAATCTTAATTTTCTGGTTTTATGTACAAAGAACACATCCCCTTTCTTGCTTAATGATGTAATGAAGAAGGTGGCTCCTGTGGTTTCTATGTTGCTTTCAAGAACTTTGAGGATTCCATCAATATGATGTCATTCTCCCATCTTGCTTTTAAAGTCCGTCCATTAAAATATTAATCAGAATCTTGAGGGATAGCTCACTGAGTTACAGGGCTTTCCATGCAAGCACAAGGACCTGAGTTTGCACTCCTAGAAGAGCATTTCATTTGGACGTCACAGTGTGCCTGTACTATGACACTCTTGCCGGGATATGGAGGGGGCGGGGGCGGGGTGGCAGAAGAATCCTTGGAAGTCCATAGGCCAGTGAGCCTGGACACCCAGCATAGAAACAACAAAGAGACTGTCTCAAACAAGGCAGATGGTGAGGATGGACTCCTGAGGTTGTCCTCTGGCCTTCACACACATGTACAGCGCGTGTGCATCTGCAGTCACAACCGTGAATGTTCGCATGCACACATCATGCACAGATGCACAAAGCATGTCAATGATAAAATGTTCTAATGGTTAAAATGAGATTATACCCGCATCTGTTCAGAGACAGGGCTGTTTTTCTTGGGAAGAACTTGGAGAGCCCAGTCAGGTGGTGGTTGAGATGTGGGAGTTGAAATGTGTAGAGATGACCATTTCAACTTTTTTTTGGAAAAATATCATACATGAAAAAGCCTAGGAAATTATCTAAGAATTTTAGACGTTATATAGAATCTTAAATATATGCCCCTGGGTACTATGCATTTTGTTGCTGTTTGGTTCCTATTGGTAGTTTTTAGTGTTAACATTGCAGTAAAAAATTTTTAAAATATCCAAATATAGTTACAACTATGTTTTCATAAAATCTGTGTGTGTGTGGTGTATGTACGTGTGTATGCAAACATGGGGAGGCTACATTAGGTACTGTTTACCTCATTTTTCTTTTCCTTTCTTTTTCTCTTTACTTTTTTACTCTTGTGGGGGACAAGATCTCACTGTGTAGCTCTAACGGTCCTGGAACTCTCTATGTAGACCAGCCTGGCCTCAAACTTACTTAAATCTACCCGCCTTTCCCCCCGAGTGCTGGGATTAAAGGCCACAATGCCTGGCTAACCTTCTTCTTAAAACAGGCTCTGTCCCTGGCCTGGGCCCATTAGGGCAGCAGGCCAGAGAGCCCCAGGACCTTTCTGTCTGTCTCTGCGCTGCTGGGTTCCACGCTTGTGCTGCTGCTTTTTTACGTGGGTTCTGGGGATTGAACGTAGGTCCTCGTGCTTGCAAGGCAAGTATTTCACCAACAACTGCTCTGTGCCAACAGACCCTTTTCCACAAATTGTTTATATAGTTTCATAATGAACAAAAATAGTTAAAAATAGCCATCTATCTCCTTATAAACCACATAAAATTAGACAGCTCCACAATTGCGCACAGTGTTTCAAGGAAAAAACTCAATAGTCTAACACACAACAGAGGCACAGGATAAATAATTTCTCACTGTGACCTTGGATTTTGTTCTTCTTTATAAGGTAGCTTTGTCAGGAAAATGGAATGATTCTTAATATTTGCACTTAAAGAAAATCTTTTTTTTATTTGAAATCATAAGACTTTGGAATTTACTGCAAGTACGTTTCTAATCCTGTTTATGTAAGGATGGTTTACTGGAGCCCTAAATATAGCTTAAGAGTATGTTTACCTTGATGAATATTTGAACAGTGACGAGTAGGTCGTGACCAAAAATAAATCACAGTAAATCATTATAAATTTATAAGCCATTGTTAGTGTTCGGACATCACCCATGTTATTCTATTTACATTTATTCCCATTTTAAGGGATACGTGAAAATCTACTCGATCACTTGGTCCCACAGTTCTTATATTTAAGGTTGGTCCTGCCATGAAGTAGTATCTAGAGGGAAGAAAATATTACCTATGTTTTCCATGTATTACTACATAATACTAGCTATGGACAAGCCAGTTAGTTTGGCAAAGATGAGGTAGATGGCAGGAAGGGTCGCAGGCCTCCTGAGAGGAACACTGCAGGAAGGCCCAGGGTAGGGAGGAAAGGTGCAGGGCCGCCCCTGGCTGAGGACACTGGGAAGGACACATAGTGCCCTGTGCTCACTGGAGAGACAGTGAGCCGAGAGGAGGGAGACATGACCTCTCTGTGTGTGTCTAGATTTGTTTGCTTCTCATCCTTTCCTTGTTTCTACCCATGTCTTTGTGCCCTCTCCTGCTCTCGGAGCTGCTGTCTCTGGAGCACACTGGTTCCTGAAGCTATGCGTCCTGGGATTGGGTCCGCTGTCTTCTGCGGAATTCAGCTAATGCAGTGCTTCTCCACCAGCAGGCTCACCAAGACGACATTTATAGCTCCCCATACCCAGGCTGTACCCACATCAGTAACATCAGACTCCAGTGTGTGCTTTCCAAAGTCCCTAGAGGGTTTCACTGTGCAGTCAAGGTTAAGAAATGCTGGGCTAATGAGCTGCATTGATGAGAGGGGAGAGGGGGGTCATTTTTCTGCCTTTCCAGTATATACAGTGTGGTGGTATAACCTTTGGGCTCTGTTCCTTATCCTTCCGAGTGGTCCTTTCCTTGCCTGCGGTACTTGTCATGCATGTTTGTGCTAACTGGTCCTCAGGGAAACTCATCTTAGAGTGGGTGGGCCATTCCACCACTGCTCTCTGAGCCCTAGGGGTCTTTTCAACTTGAGATCTCTGTGCTGTATCAGTTCTCTGCAGCATGTGTGTCTGACTCATGAGTCTCTCTACCATGGAGATCATTTCCTCCCTTTGCTTCACCTGGCCATGCGGAAGTTGCTTGCAGCAACCACAGGTTCAAGCTTCTCCATTTGCTTCCTTAAGTACTCAGATGAAGAAAGACTGGTGTCTTTCCCCTGATTAGATGTGGCCTCATACAGCATCGACAACCTAGGAGAGCTCTGGTGACTATGGCCACGGTGATGACACAGAATGGACGTCAACAACTTCCTTGTTCTTTCCCACCTAATCTGTGTAGCCTTGGATGGCCTGGGACTCCCTATGTAGGGCACTCTGGCTGCGGAATCCAGAGATCTGCTGCCTCTGTCTTGTGAGCCCTGGGATTAAAGCTGTGCACCACCATCACTGGCTAACTCATGTTTTGATTAAAAAGCAAGGCAATGGTGGACCTTAAACAACTTCTGGCCCCCTTCTGATTTAAAGGAGGAACCATTCTTTTTAAAAAGCATTTCTCCTGAGCTGACAAGACCTCTCAGGGGTGAGCGTCTGCCACCCAAGCCTGATCACCCATGTTCAATCACCAGAACTAAGACTTTAGGAAAGAACCAATTCCTGCAAGTTGTCCTTGACCTGCCACACAAGTAGCTGCTGATGCCTGTCACCTCCCCACCTCCACAAAGTTAATAAACACGATACATTTATTAAAATGTTTGA